CTAAGACAGGAAGAATTAGTTTTCTCCAGGGACAAGCTCCCTGAGAAGTTATCTAATCCCAAGTGGTCAGCCTATAATACATGTACACATGAGCACCACTAAATGGGCTCAGTGTCTCATATAGCTCTGTGTGTGTGTGTGTGTGTGTGTGTGTGTGTGTGTGTGTAACAATAATAATCACAGAAGAGTACACGAGAATGAGAGGGAGTTGGGGGGCATGGGAGAGTTGGTAGGGGACTGTGAGGGATGGACATGATGCAAAGACAGAACTCGTGTGGAATTCTCAAAAACTGATTAAAAAAGAACAATGGCAGTTGAAATAATCTTTAAAGGCCAGTGATGTATACAATGGAGTTTCTGGTTTGTATATTTTTCATGTTATTCTGATTTTGTGAAAGATACACTTTATGTTAGGATGTAACCCCAGTCTTAGATGTCATTATGTTATTGTAAACACCTAAATGCAAAGCATTAGCTACATTTGTTTATATTGTATATCATTAGATTTTTAGATTTCTAAAGACAAATAATCAGCTATTCACAGTCAACAGGTTTTCCTGTTTGATTTTATGTAATCATGTGGTTTCTAGTAGCCAAAACTTGTTTGCTATTTATCAAGTAAAGCAAGATTATTAGCATAAGGTAACTACATAGCTTCATAGTATAGTAAAAAAGAGATTTTCATATCTTCCTCATGTTATACACAATTACTGTAAGGAACATTTTCATATTTTCAGTAGGTCCGTCTGCCCTAACAGCAGGTTTAGATTCATATGAACTTTGGTTTTATATTTCTGTCATTTTAAATACTAGATTTAGAAATACTTTATCTGAATTTTGAATGACAATCCAAATTGAATCACATTGCTTCATTCCATTTCAAAATTGTATTGGATGCTTTAATACTTTTCTTCCTGGGAAGAGTTTGCTTTCTATTAAGAATAAGCACTTCCATTATTTTGAATGAGTATTGATATGGCAGACCTTCACTCTTAATTTTATGGAACTGTGACAAAGAATAAGAAAAACAGTATCATAATCTTGTTGGCTAGCAAAATTATTCTTCAGGAGCTAATTTTAAATTACTTACATGATTAAAACATGCAGTTTTGTTTATGGACTGTAATATTTGGGCTCAATTTTTACGTACCTAGTGAGGAAAAATACAATTGCTTGTCATTCTCAGTTTGCAAAATTACCTTTTCAGGAACAACAAATTAAAAGGTTTTTAAAATCTAAAATCCGTTTACTACTAAGGTCCCCTTGGGCCTGTCTGGCAGCTTTCTAAGGTGTGAGGCCCCTGTGGCTTATCCCTGCGACACTCACACTAATCTTGGTCCCGTCGTTGTCCGGGTCTCTGTCGGGTAGGAGCGCCACCTGTGGGACAAAGGATGCAAACGCTGAGCCTCGGCTGTGTCCTCGAATTCCTGGTGAAGCATGACCTAGTAGGCGCAACTGCTGGGGAGATCCCAGCCTTTGTTGTGTTGAATCATTTTAGCCAACTCGATTTAAGGGATCGGAGAACGAGCGAGGCCTTGAATTCCTCCAGCCCCAAAGCCCGACGGGACTGCCTCCCCGGTCCCTCCCCAGGATATCCCAGTGTTCCCCACTGCCTCCGCGCTGCCTTAAAACACCTCTGCTGTCTCCGCTGCCCCTGCCCGTGGTCCGCGGAGCATCCCTGAGGTCCCCGCTGCCTACACGCTGACCCAGAGCATCCCTGTGGTTCCCTATTGGCAAGGAGCATCCCCGCTGTCCCCACTGTCTCCACGCCTGCCGAGCGGCTCCCAGCGGTCCCTGTGGTTCCCGCGCGGCCCCAGATAGTCCCCATGGTCCCGGCTGTTCCCGGACCCCGCAGGCTGTGCTCCCCAAGGCTGGCCGGGTTCAATGCCTGGGCTCAGCGGAGTCTTTCTCAGGGTTTAGTCCATCTGGCTTGCGGGTTCCGGGAAGGGCAGGGGCAAGACGCAAAGGTGGGCGAGGCCCGGAGTGTGGCTGGAAGTTTTCCGAAGGAATTCTGCATCTTTGCCTTCACTGCAGACCAGTCTCCAGTCTCTCTTCTAATGGCCTTTTCTTCCTCTCTTCCTCAAGTCCGAGTTCTCTTTTCACTTCCTTTTCCCCTCTGACCCCCACTCTCTTAGCTTCTCTACATTTCCTTCCCCTCACCTTCTCATGCCCCCCCCACCTCGCCTCTCCCCTGTCTACTCAAACCTTCGCATTCCTTTCCTCCCTCTATTCCTCCCCCGCCCCCTTTTCAACCTCCTTTCTGCCTCTTTCTAAGGTTAATGTGAGAACTAGCATATAAGGAAATAGAGATGATGGGGGGGGGGGGACTTCTCTCGCCCTCACAGTCTGGAAAAGGGAAGGCGGACGATATGGGACTATCAGCACCATTGTGCGTAATTTCCATAATACCTAATACTAACAGCAACTGAGTCCCAGTCTAAACCTGGAAAGACCTACTAGTATGACTGCCTTGGTGGTTTTAAGTTTCTATCTCCAGGACAAATTCAGGCTTGCTCACTCCCACTGACCCCAGAGGGTACCCTCTGGGCTGTGGCCCCTAGTTGGACATGCAAAGAACTAGGAGAGTGAGGCAGATGAAGGGTTTCTGTGGACTACAAGCCATGGCTACCTGAGCGCCAGCTGCCTCAGCCCCTGGCTCCAGGTCCTCTGGTCCCCGCAGGAACCACCACTGGATCTCTAGGTACACTGAGGTGGAGCCGCTTTGGAAAGCGCAGGACATCTCCACATTTTGACCCTCGGTTGCAGTCACGTTCCGCGGAAACTCAGTAAATTTTGCTGCAAGATAAAATGCATCGTTTTGGTATATCTACATCCTCCTTGTCAGTATCTGTTTCCTGGAGAATATAATGCAGTGTTTGATTTTGTTTTGGTTTTTGTTGTTATCCTTTTTGCTGTGACAAGAAAGAAAGAAAGAAAGAAAGAAAGAAAGAAAGAAAGAAAGAAAGAAAGAAAGAAAGAAAAAAGCAAACCCACAGCAATAACATCAGCTCAGTGATTGTCTGCAGGGCTCCCCATCCCCCTCTTGCTTCTGCCTTTCTTGTTTTTGGTATCATGCCTAAATCACTTTGTTGTTGATTGAGTCCAGATAATGGAAAGGTTAATGAGCTTGCCAAGAGCTCTTTCTGCTAGCCAAGCTGCCCAGTTAGATCCAAACATCTTTTTTCAGATTGCAGTATCCCCTAAAACTTACTGAGAGATTCAGAGAGGTGCAATTTAAACCATCTGTCAGGTTGATGTATGAGGAAGCCTCTTGTTTCTTAAGTTTCTAAACAATCCATGACTAACTGGATGTTTCATTTTAGAACTGGATCATAACTATGTCAAAATGTATGTTCTTGACCCATCAAAACAGTGGTTCATAACTGTGTTCTGAAGCCCACAGCAGTGAAACAAGTTGCACACTCCTTAAGATGGGTATATTTCCTTTTTACCAAATTAACCTTCACACTTGTTCCCTTCAAGCCATTATAAATTGCGACCCTTCAAGCCATTATAAATTGCCACACATCGAGGGATATAAAATCATACATCCATGTTTAATTCAAATTAAAGATTATTTGAAAGTCACTACAGAGATTCTGTCCAGTTTTTTTTATTATTATTATTACTAACCTTGACACTCCAGCTTTTAGGATTAATATACCTATGTGAAAGTCACAAAAACAAAATGCGCCCTTCTTCCCTAAAGGCATTTCTTGAACATGGAATGAATCTTCTACGTTGTTAACAAGATGATTGTTCTTAGCTTGACTAGGGGTACTTTGCAAAGAGCTCTCTAAAGACTCCCTAAAAGGAGTCTTAGATTTGCAGCTGAGGGAAGGGCACAGTCACAAAGCACCTTTAGGAGGTGTGTGTGTGGATGGGGAGGGGGGTCTGAAGGGATGACAGAAGGGATTTACAGAGGGTGCACTTTTACCTTGCTTCTTAAAGATAGCCTCTCTTGGAGTCTTTTTTCAGTATCTTATGAAATTCCCAATTGATCACTCATGAAATGGAATTGTTTCTGTTTAAAGGAAATGGCTACTATTAAGGAGGGAGTCTATCAGAGAGGGACTTCTATGCTCAAACTGTCCGGAGAAGCAGGGCACTCAGGCTTGTAGAAGTGATGCACCCTTTCCAAGGGAGAAATGTGATCTGTTCAAGGTGCTGAAGCGACCACTGCAACCTGGAAAGTCCTGAACAGCTGGGCCCAGCCAGCTGCTTGCTGTTTATGATGCACTGTACGTCTTTGTGGGTCCTCTGATAAACACACAAGCTAACCAAGTCACACAACCTCTGCTATAAGGAGTACTGGCAATGTGAAGCGCCCCCAACCACCAGCTCTGTGCTTGTGATGATTTTGTATGCATGAGAGGTTACCTTGTTCATGCACAGAACAAGCGAGCAAGAGAAAGAGCACACACACACACACGCACGCACACACACACACACACACACACACCTGTGTTTGTGCACACTGAGGAACTCAACCCTTAACCAAGCAGGCGTCACCTAGATATTCTTTGAAACATAGCCTTTTTATGATTTAATGAACTTTAAAGAAAAGCCAAACAGAACACTATTCATACAGTCTAAACCCACTGTTACTTGGTAGGAGCCACTCTCCTGCCGGTCCATTCTTCGGGTTGGCAAAGAATACATACACAGCACCACCACACAAACCACGAGCAACTGTGTATTTGCTAGAGAGCACAGACTTACCTTGAGAAGAAAGCCCTTGCTGTACATATAACACAGAAAAGAACAGAAATCCCACAGACGCCAAAAAGATCCCCATCATGCCAAAGGAGGGGGGCACATCCGTGTAGCCAACAGCCCAAAAGCCTGGAAAGAAAGAACCGCAAGCGAGTCCGAGGCTGGTCTCAGAGCCCCCGGCGCGACACTGTACGCATCCTGCCGCTCGCGGCGGAGACAGGCTGGGCACCAGGGACTGCGACTCGCGGAGGTACCGCCCGGCGGGCTCGGATCCGGGGGCTTCGGTCACAGACACGGCTGACACGCCGCGAAGTGTCTCGGCCGCCGGCTGGCTGCTTCCGCTACCTGGCAGCTCGTCCCACGTCAGCCCGCTTGGCTTGCGTGCTCGCCGCCCTCCCCACGCCGAGCGAGCCGCGGCGAGTGCAGCGGGCGCGGGGCGGTGCGGACTGGGCTCGCGCGGCGCCCAACTTTCCCTCTAATGGCTGCGATGATGCCTTTAACTCTATGCGCGCCGGGGCTCCGCACCTGCCCTCCAGGGCGAGGCCAGGGACGCACCCGCCGCGTGCGCCAGGCGGACCGCACGGACCCTCTGCTCTTTCCCAGTGTGCCTCTCCCCCCATCGGCTGCGCTCAGGCTTCGCTGGATCAGATGGCTTGGTGCTAAGAAGGCAGTCCAGTTGTAGGATCTCGACGCTGGCTGGGGGCACGAGAGAGGGATTTGAGGAGGAAGGGCTTGGGTTGGGACAGACTTCTTTGGGGTGAGGAATTGAAGGAAATGCCGCTTAACCAGTTATTAACTGCTCTTACCACAATGATCACATGCTATCATTTCATCGGAATTTATTGTGGAGCAGGCTCCAGTGGAAGAACAGCCGTTCGCTCAGGTACCACCTCACACCAGCCAAATGGAAGGCACGCAAAGTACAAAAGTCACGTATTGAGAGAATGTTCCAGAAGGAAAAGTCCACCACGCCATGCTCGTTTCTTTTATTCATATACTGACTGCCTGCTTTGCTTCCACCCCACAGTATTTGGGGATGGGGGAGGGGTTTGCATCTCATTAAGGTCCCCCTTGTAGGATTTATTTTTATTTTGTTCAATTTCTTTTGCATAACAACTACATGATAATCTTTACGGATTCTATGAAATGAGAATATTAGTCCGGGCATAAAATAAAATAAATTACATTTCAAAATTTGGGATGTCTAGTTATTTGCTCTAGTAAAGCTTGAGATGCATACTCTAGTTTTTATTGTTTTCATCAAGAATCTTAAAAAGAAGAAACTTACCTGTCCTTGTCAGATATTAAAAAAATATTTTTCATTAAAAATCAGAAAATAATTTTTAAATTTTTCATTATTTCTGTGTAGCTCTATCTTGAATCCTCAACAGTAACTGGAAACATTCATTAGTCTTAACACTGTTTACTGAAAACCAACGAAGTATGTGTTTCCATTTTCCAGATGAAGACTTTGTAGTTAGCTAATGTCATTCCTGACCAAAAACAAGCAAACAAAAAACTTAACATAGCTGTAGGATTTTAAATCACTTGTCTTCTACAGCTGACTGCAGTAGGAACTTAAAAACCAGGAAACTGAGACACAGGAAGGTCATACATAATATTGTCATTTTTAAATGAAGATATAGTTGTATTGTGGCTAGGGGGAAAAACAGATTGAGACAGCCCCTGAGGGTATTTTAGACCTCTGCATGTTTAGGCTAACCATGGGGGTATTTTAGACCTGTGCATGTTTAGGCTAACCATGGGGTATTTTACATGTGTGCATGTTTAGAATAATCATGGGGCTATTTTAAACTTGTTCATATTCAGGCTACTCTATCTGCCTTGCATTCAGCAAAGAAGGTTTTGAAGTTTGTCATTCTTACAAAAAAATGTTTTTTTTTTCTTTCAACCATTGTATTTTGGAGGTGTTCAGTACATAGAAAAAATGCAGGCACGCACACCTACCTCATACTAAGATTACTTGGAAAACAAACAACATAATGCTGTAGGCATTAGATATTTATCTGGCTGGTCATCTTCAGTTTTTAATGTCAGCTAAAATGACATGTGAGAAGTGATAGGAGAATTTTAGTTTTTCGATACAGCACTTAGCATAAACATGAGCTCAATATGTCGTGAGAACGCGCTAACTTGAAGGTTGTCTGTTGTTAGAATAGTTTCCAGTAGCAAGGAAGAGCATCCATTTCAAACAAGAGGTCTGAATTAATTCAGCAAAACACTTTGCATTAAGTGGATCATCTAATCACTGTAACTGTAAAAGTTGAACAGAACAGGTTCAGATGTGTAAAGGAGAAAGAAAAGAGCTGTTATAAGAAAGACAGATAAACCATTAAAAATTTTGAACCGATTATTATACACTCTCTGGAAAAAGTAGGGAAGGATGGAGGGAGCAACAAGGAACAGAAGGAAGGTGAAACTGGTAAAAAAACATTTTGTTCTTATGAAAATTACCTGTTAGATATTTTATTTTAAGTTTTTCCAATGTAGATCAGAACCATATATTTTATTTATTTTTTTATGTATATGAGTGTTTTGCCTGTATGTAGGTAAGTGCAATGCCAATGGAGGACAGAAGAGGGCATCAGAGTCCCTGGAACTGGAGTTATAGATGGTTGTTAGCTGTCATGTGGGTGCTGGGAACTGGACCAGGGTCCTCTACAAGAACAGCCAGTGCTCTTTATCGCTGAGCCATCTCTCCAGTCTCCAAAACCATTTTCTTAAATATCCACATTTCAAAGGATGTAAAAAGTGCTAGTAAACACATTTGCATTATTTAGTATGAAAAATTTACCGTGTTAAAGACAACATATATAAACATATATAAACAGTTCAAAATGAGAGGATTTGATTAAAAAGTCAGTGTATCCAGTAGATCAAGTGGTGAGCTTGAAATGGTATCCTTGTAGAACACCAAATTTTGCTATAAGGTTGGAGGTGGATTATCAGGAAAGATAAGTTTTCTGTATCCAGATAAGATAAAACATTTCCTTTGCATTTCTTCCTCTCCCAATGATGGCTAATGTTTAGTCTTGGAAAAATGACCATAAGTCTCTTCCTAATATCATTTCACTGTTTTGATTTGCTGCTAATTTGCTTCAAAAGGTAGAGCTCTCTGTATTACTACAGTTCCTACACTCTGAAGTTTATGACAAATAGGCTCTTTCTTGGAACATAATTCAGTCCAATTGCAGATCCGTTGTTTTCCTTTAGCATCTTATTTAAATCACATATATTTACTTTTTACACATTCAAAATTGTTTACCTTTCTCTTTCACACACAGTTCCTTTGTGATCCCTGCAAGCTTTTGCATAAGCTTTCAGAGCTATTGATCACTGAGAGTCCAAAGGAGTGGAATATTTTGAAACCTTGTGGCTAGGAACTGTATAATCTTTTTCTCCTAAGAGGGTTGTGGGGTGTTTTTCCATCTTGAATGTGAAAGGAATCATATTTCACCCCTCTATGCACATAATAGGTTTACTTTCCATTTTCTAGCTTCAGGTTTTTTTTTTTTAAAGCTGAGTTCTACATACCAAAAGAAAAGTTTTAAAAAATCTGAATAATTTAAAGACACAAACATGATGTTTTCTTCACAATGTTTCTTTAAAACATTTAAATTATCCACCTGTAGAAGTAGAATTGAGTCCCTGTGGATTCAAGAAGATAAGCCCCATTTATTCACCACTTTTGCAGGCTTAGCTGAACTGAGTGCAGAAGTCTTTCCATCCTCACCCCTGAAGGTGCTCCATACTGAGTTCCTGAACACTTTGGAGATAATGAACACTTCATAAGAAAGAACATTTCAGGGGACTGAGAAAATTTTTCATTCACAATCTCATGCCCGGACTAATTTACCTTCACTTGGGAAAATAAAAGGAAATATTACAAATGTTGAAATGATTTAAAAAATAGCCTCCAGGCCGGGTGTGGTGGCAAACGCCTTTATTCCCAGGAGGCAGAGGCACGCAGATCTCTGAGATCAAGGCCAGCCTGGTCTACATCGAGTTCCAGGACAGCTGGGGCTACAGGGAGACACTGTCTCAAAACGACAAAAAAAAAAAAAAAAAAAAAAAAAGCCTCCAAAAATTTTATTTCAGTTGAAGAAAATAAGACCCAAGGAGAAAGTCCCTAAAATATTCATCAAAAATGAGCTTTGAAACTTTGTGTTCCATTGAATTACTCAATCAAAGACTGTTGTATGTAAATCTTCACTGCTTATACCAGTGTGATAAAGTCAAGGATAGATGGTAACAACAGAAGAAACATGAGTATCTCTCTGTACATGTATAGAACACGTTTTTACAGAGTGAGTGCATTTCAGAACATATGTGGAATCCAAACAGTTCATGCTGGACCAGTCATAACATGTCACTTATGTCACGAAGCAAATCTGTACTTTATTTCTTCAAGATCTTAAGATTTAAAATGTTTGAAATGGCTTTAGTTCTTTGTACAAATCATACTCATAGAAGGACCATATAAACACCAAAATTCTTTCGTAGGCACTGGTTAACAAATGACTTGAAAATCCACACTATGAGACAGTCCCCTTCAACACAACTTCTTCTTGTCGTGTGGTATTGTGCTTTGTAAAGTAAACAGTGTACACAGAGAAGAGCTGGTGATCTCCAGAAGTGACTAAGCATTTTCCACAAGCAGGTGGCTCAGGGACTATAACTGCCCCTCGCAGGGTTACTGTTCATTTAAATCCTCCAGATGGCATGTGCTCCTTTATCTTTTCCTTTTGAACATGGCAAAAATGTAAATTACTTAGATCTGGCTTTTATGCTGGGAAATTCTGTGTTACTTTGCAATTGAAGTTCATGAAGTTAGAATACAAATTATTCATTAGGTCGTGTTATGTCATTTTAAAACTGTAATGTCTGACCTAGAGGTGACATCTGGAAAAAGCAAAGAACAGCTTCACATTTTCTGTAAAGTTAACATCACAATCTGCTTAGCTGCTCTGTACTAAACTTACGGACCCTTGCATTCACTTTTTCTCTTCTCATGAGAAATTAAAATGATATAATGACAAACATAGATTGTGTCTGTTAATTTCATCATTAAAGAGTTTAACATCTATTAAAAGCCTCTTTAGCTACCAGGGAAGAAAACTGAGCATGTTGGCTATGAAACTATTCTGTCAGGGAGAACACCTTTGCTTCAAAATTATGTTTCAGCTAAAGCTCAGGATTTGTGAAGGTATTTACTATGTTCAACATATTTTTATTTGCATTATAAATTTGATGTGTTTGATTAAACATGACAGACAACTGTAACAGACATAACAGACACCTATTTAGGGAAAGAAAGCAAAAAA